GGCGGGCGGGCGTTGTGTGGTCACATACCTTCGACCACGAGCATTCACGTCTCACTTTTCAGCTCTTTCTTTGCTGCCTCTCATCACAGAGGGCATTACCCGTCTAAATCCTGCTGGTCACACCTCTTATTAAAGCCCGGGTTGTCCCACGCCGCCCCCCCCCCCACACACACACCCCCCCCCCTGCTCTTGGTATTCAGCCCAGGTCAGCAGATTTTCGGCCCGGCCCACGTGGCCCCCCTTTTTAATTTGCACCTGTTGTGCAGTTGTCGGGGAGGAGACAAAGATCATATTATAGAGATATGAACGGACTAATCTCCATCCTCCTGGGAGCGTGAACACTGAGATGTTATGATTATAGTTTCATTTCATGTCATGGACTGGTTTCATGGCTCTACTGGATCCATGTGGCTCTACTGGATCCATGTGGCTCTAGTGGATCCATGTGGTTCTAGTGGATCCATGTGGCTCTAGTGGATCCATGTGGTTCTTAGTCTGAAAGCTTCTTTCTGTTAAATCCTTCATTTTGCAGACGATGAGCTCGTTTACATCAGTAATATTTTCAAACTGTGCTGAAGACGTTTTACTTTTCTTATTCATGTTTTGGTGGATAAATTGTGGAGAACTTCCTGTTTTGTCTCTTTCTGAGCTCGGCTTGCTGTTTCCCCTCCCTTTACAGTCTTTATGCTAAGCTAGGCTATCTAGCTACAAACTATAGTGTTTCATCTATTCTTTCACCTCTAACAAAGTATGTACAGCGTAGTAGTAGTAGTAGTCATAACAGTAGTAGTAGTAGTAACAGTAGCAGCAGCGGTAGTATTACTAGTACTAGTAGTAGTAGTAGTAACAGTAGTAGTAGTAGTAGTAACAGTAGCAGCAACGGTAGTATTACTAGGAGTAGTAGTAGTAGTAGCAGCAGCAGTGGTAGTAATAATAATAGTAGTAGTAGTAGTGGTATTAGTTGTAGAAATAGTAGTAATTAGAGTGGAAGTAGTAGTAGTAACAGTAGCAGCAGTAGTAGTAGTACTAGTAGTAGTAGGAGTGGACATAGTAGTAGTAGTAGTAGTAGTACTCTGTCCCCTGGTTTAACCAGGTTTATGTTCAGTCATGGGACATTTACAGTCCTCAGTCCCCTGGGCTCTCAGACAGAAAAAAACTCCCAGTCCAGGAATGTGCTTCCTACTCCTTCTCCTCCTCTTCCTCCTCCTCCCTTTCCTGCTCCTCTTCCTCCTGGTCCTGGTCCAACATGGCCGTGGTCTAACATGGTCCGGTGTTTGTGTTTCAGTGTTAAACTATGAGAATGTGGAGACGGGTTCAGAGACCGATGAGGACGACAGGACTCTGGTCTCTGAGGAGAACGGCCTCGTTAACGGAGATGGAGGAGGAGGAAGAGGAGGAGAGAATGAAGAGCAGGAAGAGGAGGGCAGCCCTTTGGAGGCGTCGCCCCGGGTCGCCCACGCCCCCCTGTCCTACCGGGACCAGGAGGACTCAGAGGGTCCACAGGACCACCATCAGACCTGGAGACTCGGAGACGACCCCAACAGACACCTGAACGGCAGCGGTGAGTCAACAGAAGGCTGTATGTGTGTGTGTGTGTGTGTGTGTGTGTGTGTGTGTGTATATATGTATATATATATACATATATATATACTGTATATATATATAAAAAAGTCACCACTTCAAGACAAAAATCCTTAAAATACAAAATATTTATTTTTGAAAATGTCTTTATATATATATGTGATCTGTATAGGTTGGTTTTCTTTTATTTGAAATGAAATGAAGAAACAAGAGAAGAAGTGATTGTTCCTCCATCATGTCTCTCGAGGAAAGAAAACACACAAAGAGACTCCATTTTACTTTCTAATAAACAGCAACAGTAGAACAAGAGTAGAGCCCACAAACACAGAAGAAGAAATGTGTCCCAGTATTCCCAGCAGAGGAAATCACACAGTGTTACTGGTTTTCCAAACTTTATCTATATGAATGTAGGAATATACTTTTATTTGTGTATTATTATTAGGGCCCGAGCAACCGACAACGTCGCGCCAGCGAAGGCCCTATTGAAATTGTATGGGGTATTATTTTTCGTGATTTTTATTTTTGCACTTTGGGAGCATTTTTGGGGGACTTGCCATGCATGAAAACTCACCAAATTTTGAAGGTTTGTCAGGTCTGGTGAAAATAGCCATCTGAAAAAGGATGCATCTTTCTGTGTAAATAAATAGCTCTCTAGCGCCCCCTACAAATCGGACCGGTGACGCCCCTCGGCCAGTATGTCCGATTTACTTGAAATTCAACACACATGTCCAATTCCGCTAGATCTACAAAAAAGCCTCTCAGACCCCTAAGGTCCGCCGACTTAGATTTTCCGCCATTTTGAATTTAATGAAAAACACATTTTTGCAAGCTCCTCCTACATGCTGGGTCCGATTGCTACCAGATTTGCTGTGGATCATTATTGGATCTACGTCATCAAAAGTTATTTTGATATCTCTTTGCGTTTACAAGATATGGATCAATAAACTTTTTGGGGCGTGGCTTATATATCAATACACATAACTTCTCAACCGTTTGTCCTAAAATTACCAAATTTGCAGCATATGTACACATCGCATCCTGTAACATACCCTGAGATTTTTTTGCATTCAACCACTAGGGGGCGCTACAGTAAACCCGCTAAGTTATGCTTTTTGTCACTTTTTGCATTTTTCAGCCTTCGTACTTTAACAAACTCCTCCTAGAGAATTAATGCGATCAAGTTCAAATTTGGTCAGGATGCTCTTAAGACCTTTGTGATGAAAATGTATCAAAATTGTGAGTTTTCATCGAAGAACCTTGACGTGGCATGGTGGCCATTTTGCCTCATTCGGCATGAAAAAGGAAGTTGTTATAACTCCAAGGTACATTATTCAATCTGCACAAAACTTCCAATGCATGATGCTACTTCAAGCCTGAACATACTTCAGTGGAAAAAATGTCAATAACTCATAGCGCCGCCTACTGGCTAAAGGAAATGTCATATTTTATACTTTTATTTATTCCTCCTAGCCAGGTGAACTGATGAGTCTCAAATTTGGTAAGGATAGCCTTAAGACATTGATGCATCATCATGAATATTGTGAGTTTTCATTGAGCACTGTTGCCGTGGAGACGCATCATTCGCCATGAAAAAGGAAGCTGATGGTTTAGTGGCTTTGGATGGTCAAAAACTCAATGAACTTTGTACATGTGTCAAAGGTCATAGGAAGACAGTTTATATGGGTTTTTGGCTTGGCCGTTTTAAATTCCCTCTATAGCGCCCCCTACAATATTTCAAAAGAGCAGCCCCTGCGCTACATTTCAGCTACATGTATGAAACTTGGTAGGTACATGTATCATATGGAGACTTAAAAATAAGTCTCTTAGGACCATGCTCTAAACCGTACCGGAAGTCGGCCATTTTGATTTTTGTGTCATTTCTCCATCGATTTTGGCCTATTTCTGTCACGGTTTAGGCTTTGCCCCTTGTGTTCCTGTATTTCTGTATCTGTTTCCCCTAATTACACTCATCCTACTCACCTGCCCAGTCCACCCAGCTGCCTTCTATCTTCTCATCACCCAACACATATATATTCCCCTGCTTTCCCTGTTCTGGTTGTCAGATCGTCCTTGTTCGTTCCCCTGTCTGTTCCAGTATTGTGTCTCCCACGTGTTTGCTCGGTGCTCCAGCGTTTGCTCCTGGTTTGTACCTTTGCCTTGTTTTTTGTGATTTTGGATTTTTTGCCCGCTTCGTCGGAGCCGCTTTCAGTTTTTGTTTATGACCTTTTATATGACCAGTAAAGATTCCTACGTTTAAACTTCACCTCGTCTCCAGTGTCTGTGTCTACACTTGAGTCTCTGATCTGCCCCTCGGGCGTGACAATTTCTAGTCGCTATACTTTAACGAACTCCTCCTAGGGACTTCATCAGATCCACTTTAAATTTTGTCAGTACAATGTCAAGACAGTTGTGATTAAAAGTTATCTAAAGCTTTACGTTTGACAGAATGGCTTAGCCGTAGCGGGCGGCTACTTTACGTGATTCCCCATGAAAAAAGCTGATGTAACTCAGCTGGACCTGTTCCAACCGGTCCCAAACTTCTCATGCTTGATAACACTCATGGCCTGAGGATGTCTACAAGCTAATTTTCACAAGTACTCACAGCGCCACCTGCTGGCGAAAGGAAATCTGGATTTTGTGATAAACACCTCCAATTTACATGACTTTTACACAATGTGGTTTACATTTGACACAGAGCTACATGATGCATGTTTGCACGTGTTCTGTAGCGCCAGGCAGGAAGATACAGGAAGCATCGGACTATTTGCAAAGCATCATTTCCAGCATCAGGCGGTCCACGTGGGATTAAAAACGTCTCAATCACGGACACGCTGTCCGATGGTCGCGAACGCTCTCGGCCGCGCAGGCCGGAGTCCCACCGGCACCCCCGACGTGCGGGAGGATGCGAGGGCCCGTTCATCGCTGCTTGCAGCTTTAATTATTATTATTATTTTTACTATTATTATTATTATTATTATTATTGTTATGATTTGATTTGACAACATCCCACATGTGTCTCACAACATGTGGGATGTGTTCTTTCTTCAGAAGAAATTATTTATTATTTTATTATTTACTCCAGAAGTCTTTTTGTGTGTAAAATTACATATTTATTTATTCTCCTGTCTCCCCCCGAGGGTTAGGGTTCATGGGGGGAGATACCTCCTCCCTCGTCGTCCCTCTCTGTTGGTGTGGGGGAGGAAGAGGACGAGGAGGAAGAGGCAGAAGAGGAGGAAGAGTTAGAAGAGGAGGAGGAGGAGGTAGAAGAGGAGGAGGAAGAGGTAGAAGAGGAGGAGGAAGGAGAAGGAAGAGGAGGAGGAAATGGAGGAGAGGGAAGAGGAGGAGGAGAGGATGACTAAATATAAATATGTTCATTTAACAGACGACAGGAAAGACGAGTATGAAGCTGTCGGTCCAGAAGGAAACAGAACAGGTGAGAACAACATCATATATATACATACTATATATATATGTATATAATTACACACGTATACTCATGTTACATGATGTCAGCCCTGTTTTGTACATTTCTATGCTGATGATGAAGTGTTCTGTGTTCAGTCTCTGAACTCGACGACTTCTTCCTGAAACGTAAACATGAGGACAGAGACGGTCACCCGGCAACCATCGCAGAGTACCTGCAGCGCAGCGACACCGCCATCATTTACCCAGAAGCCCCGGAGGAGGTGACGCGACTGGGAACCCCCGAAGCCGTCGGTCAGGACGAGAGCGAGCACGGTGAGCCGAGTCAAAAAAAATATAAATATAAAAAAAATATATATATATCTTTATAGCCCTTTTATATATCGTTTCCTCTCTCCTCGCATGGTTTCCTCCATGCATCCCTGGTGGGAGGGACTAGGACGCAAGGAAAGGACCCAAGTGAGGGAAACGAGGATGCAATTAAGAGACTTGGGATGTACCCGTTATTGTTGATTGTCATAGTGTTCAACCAATCAGATCTTTAGTTTGACATGTCAGAGCTTTGTATGTGGCCTACAAGTAATTTAGTATTAACGTGCGGCGTGATTGGTCAGTCGACGAGCGTGAGTGGGACAGCGGTGGAGAAGCGTGGCACATGTTATGGCTAAGAATGCATTTTATTTGCGACTGAGCGTCTTGGTGTTTGGAGCTACGCTACGCTAACCTGAGGTGGCTAACCAAGGCAGCAACACAACACCATAGCACGGCAGGACACCTCTTAGGTTTTTGCGTTTCCCAGACCGCTTAGCCTGCTGGGCTACTACTGGCTCATTTGTTAGCCCTGGGCTCTGAAGCTAGCTAACGCTACGGAGACCACAGATATAGTGTCTACACACGTCAAACTGAAAACGGAACCGTCTGTGAATCAGCTTCCACCTTTGCTAATACCTGGACAAGGCTGTGGACTACGGGCTGGAGCACAATTGTCCACCAGATCTGCTATGGCTCCACTCACCTCTCCATCTGACGGTGTCAGCTGCGCACGCCTGGTTGATAAAATCACAGAGCTAGAAGGAAGAATATCCACGCTCTACAGGATCCAGGATGCCGAGAACCTCATGGACACCATCATCTTCGGTCCAGCACAAACCGACACAGCCAGCGTCCGTGTGCATGATTCCATCGCTTCCAGTCCTGCTGCTGCGGCCCCTCCTCCGGTCACAGCTCCTGAGGCTTCTTGGCTACGGCTCGGAGCTAAGCCTAAAGCCCTGGTCAGCTCCACTCCATCACATCACGAGCCCTGGACCCTGGTCTGTGCTCGCAGTAACCGGATAGGGAGACATCCCTCTCCTACACCCCATAACTTCGATGTCCAGCTGAAGAATGGATATGACGCCCTTGCCCTACACGACTTCCCTCCTCTGGCTAGGGACTCCCAGCTTCCTACACCATCCCAGCTGCCGCCTCAAGGGACCCACAGCCCCGGGAACCCCCGACATCCCTACGCCAGTCATTACTGAGCACTCCTCTCGCCCCAGGACACGCCGCTCCACACCAGCACTGCAGCGAGCTTCGGTCCCCTGTTCTCTCAGTCTTTGCTCGTCCACTCCACCACCACTTAAATCCTCGCTTCCATCCACGCGTATTACACACGCAGTGTTGTCGCCTCGTCCCCTCTTCGCCCCGACGACACTGATAGTCGGGGACTCAATAATCAGGAATACCCGTTTCTTCAACGCGACCACACACTGTTTCCCCGGAGCAACGGCTCAAGACATCCTGCTGAAACTGCCTGGCCTGCTGCACGCCCTCCTGTCTACCATTCGGCGAATTATCGTTCATGTGGGAATCAACGATACAGCCCTCCACCAGTCTGAGTTGACCAAGATTGATTTAAAAAATCTTCTACACTTTTTAAACAACTGTGGACTGTCTGCTTTTATCAGTGGTCCAACTCTCGGCCGTGGATCATAGCGGTTCAGCAGAGTCCTCAGCCTCCACACTTGGCTCCAGGCCGCCTGCAGGACCAACAACGTGAGCTTCATTGACAATTTTAATCTGTTTTGGGATCGCTCTTCCTCTTTTAAGAATGATGGTATTCATTTTAATAAGCTGGGGGTAGCCGCCTGCTAGCAGCTAATTTACAGCATGCTGTACACTCTTGTCCACATGACTGACTATTTACTTTCCACATACACGCCCCTTCTTCTTCTACGCTGCCACCTCAGAGCACAGTTTCCCGTGACTGCTCCCCCTCCTGGCCTTCCATGTCATCAACCCCTTCAGCTGCAGCTCTCCCCATTCAGACTATTGTGACAGAGAGGCTGCCCCGTTCACACTGCATTCACAAAGCCATAAACAAAAACAACCTCAGCTACATCCATCCAAGTGATGTTCACATCGGTTCCCAGCACAAGTTCGTCATCTACAACCCCACTTCTGTCAATTCCATCCCGTCTCTGTGGACCCAGCACCGGCATACAACCACTCCCTCATTACGTCATCATACCAAACAGCACGTGAATGCAGCCAACCTCAGAACCCTCCCCAAAACCTCACAACCAACCACAAAACACTCCATGAAGCTTGCTCTGTTCAACACCCGGTCACTAAGCAACAAAAGCCCAATCATCAATGAATTCATCACTGACAACAACCTTGATATCCTTTGTCTCACTGAAACTTGGCAAAAACACCTGGATTACTAGGGACTCAATCAAACCACCCCAACTGGATATCATTACCTGGATAAACCACGCCCTGATGGCTGCGGTGGAGGAATTGCCGCTCTTCACCGCCAACACATCAAAACCAGCCTGACTAACATCGAAAGTCCGCCCTCATTTGAACAGCTCTCATTCAAACTCTCTGGTCCTAAACCCCTGGTCATTGCAATTATCTACCGCTCCCCCAAAGCCAACCCTGCCTTCCTCTCCGACCTATCTGAATTCCTCACCCAGCTCTGCTCCGTGCTGTTCTAACCACACGGGCCAGGTCCCTCCGGTTCTCTGCTGTGCAGCTGGCATACCACACAGTAAAGCACTGACACAGGATGCTTTCAATCACACTTCTGTAGAAGTTAACCAGAAGTGCAGGGGGCAGGCCAGCTTGTTTGAGCTTCCTCAGAAAGAAGAGCCTCTGCTGGGCTTTCTTCACCAGGTGTGATGTGTTCAGGGACCAAGTGAGGTCTTTAGTGATTTGGAACCCCAGGAATTTGATGCTGTCCACCCTCTCCACCTCCTCCCCACTTATGTAGAGTGGAGAGGGTGTGGTCTTCCTGGATCTCCTGAAGTCCACTACGACTTCTTTGGTCTTGGTGGTGTTCAGGACCAGGTTGATGTCCAAGCACCACTCAGCCAGATGTTGGATCTCCTGTCTGTAGTGTGTCTCGTCGTTGTTGGAGATGAGTCCCACCACAGTGGTGTCGTCAGCAAACTTCACTATTGTGTTGGAGGAATATGTGGCGGAGCAGTCCTGGGTGAAGAGGGCCGGGCTGAGCACACAGCCCTGCGGTGCACCAGTGTTCAGGATGGTGGTTGTTGATGTCAGGTTCCCTATCCTGACATTCTGTGGTCTGTTTGAGAGAAAGTCCAGAATCCATGAACAGAGTGATGTAGAAAGTCCAAGGTTTTTGAATTTATGCACCAGTTTCTGGGGGATGATGGTGTTGAAGGCAGAGCTGAAGTCAATGAAGTGCATCCTGACGTATGTGTTAGGGTGCTCCAGGTGAGACAGGGCCGTATGAAGAGTGATGGAGACCGCGTCCTCCGTAGACCTGTTTGCTCGGTATGCAAACTGGTGGCTATCCAGGTCTGCTGGGAGGACGTCCTTGATGTGCGATAGTATCATCCTCTCGAAGCATTTTGTGATGACTGGGGTCAGGGCGACTGGGCGGTAGTCGTTGAGGCAGGTGACTACAGTCTTTTTTGGGACAGGGACAATGGTGGTGGCTTTGAGGCAGGTGGGGACTGCAGCTTGTTGCAGGGAGAGGTTGAAGATGTGAGTGAAAACCTCTGCTAGCTGGTCGGCACAGGTCTTCAGTGTGCGGCCTGACACTTTGTCCGGTCCCGCTGCCTTGGTGATGTCGATCCTCCTCAGAGCGGACCTCACCTAGTGGTGCTGGAGGAAGAGTGTCTGCTCCTCCTTGGGCTGGGTCTTCTCAGCTGTTGCTCCGCTGTGCTGTCTATCAAAGCGGGCAAAGAAGCGGTTCAGGGTGTCGGGGAGTTCACTGTCCTGGTTGAGCAGTGGCTCCACTGAGAGAACATTATATTTCCCACAATTTAAGCTTCTGCATTTTCCAAATGCACTGGTATTATTCAAACGAATTGTTCGGTTCGTAAGCCTCGTACCGAACGGTTTAATACGAATACGTGTATTGTTACACCATAGAAACAAATAATAACCGTAGCTGTGGCGTCATCATGAGGTTATTAGGAGGTGGCTCAAGTGTAGAAGGACAGCTCAGAAGGCCCAGGTATGAAACATATATTATATTATATATATATAAGGACAGGCCCCCTGACTTGTGTCCTCTCCCCGTCTCTCTGCAGACCTGCTGTCCGGCTCACCTGACGACTTCTCCCAGCTGCTCACCTGTCCGTACTGCAACCGCGGCTACAAGCGTCTAACGTCTCTGAAGGAACACATCAAATACCGGCACGAGAAGAACGAGGAGAGCTTCACCTGTCCGCTGTGTGCCGACGCCTTCGTCCACCGGTCCCAGCTGGAGCGTCACATGACCACACACAAAGCTGTGACAGACCAGGTAAAACACACCTGTACACATTAGTAAACTTCATTTTTTCTTCTTCTTTAATAAAACGTGTCTCGTTCATCTCGTTAGTGGCTGTATTTAATCAGCTGTTACTTGAACTGAAAGTGGAACCGTTTGGATTCTAAATGAGCTAATAAAGACTTGTATGTTATTGAATTTCTCTTCATCATCTAAACACAGTTCAGGGTGTTAAACAGTTAAATACTAATCTAATAATAAGTTAAGTTAAAGACGTCCTGTCCACGGCTCCTCATCAACCACAACTCACATTAGAGTCTCAACCATTCAATTCTCTAATTCCACTGATCGTAATGAGATAAAGAGTTAAACCGTCTCTCTTCATAGCTGACCCCCCCCCCCCCAGCAGATGGTCTTTTCTCTGCTGCTTTAAATAATCCTAATCCTTAAATGACTTCTTTAAGAGCTTATTTATTTGTGTCCGTCCTCTGAGTTAAACTGTTAAAGAGACTGTTCCAATCATCATATTCATGATGTCACATCTGTTGATTTATTCACAATAACTTTTACTTTTTTATTACAACTTACAATAAGTGTATTCAACATAAGTATTCAAGAGAACTCCTAGTCACCAGAAGTCATACGTGCATCTCCTTTAAACAAGCATCGAAGAGCATATACCAGAGAAAATGTACAGAAACAAACTAGTATAAATACAATAAGTGCAACAAACTAGTATGAATACAATAAGTGCATCACACTAGTATGAATACAATAAGTGCAACAAACTAGTATGAATACAATAA